TATAATAATTAAATATAATTAATTATTGCTTGACCATTTTAACCCTTAAAATGTCACAAATTGTTTTCTATGTAACTATTACTATAGAAATCCCGTTATTACCCTCGGAAGGTGCTAGCCCTCTTCGGATAATCATTTTCTCTTTTCATCATTCTCTAACTTCTCAAGGCTATTGGTGTGACCATGTAGGTCCACCAGGATTAGCCGTGAGCTGGTTCTGGATGAATCCGGAAACCGTTCGGAGGCCCAACGACTATGGTAAACATTTAGCAAGTGCCATAGTCCCAAACCACGATGAAGAATACTTCATCGAACCCATTTCAGATCTACGTACCATGCAGGTAAAGTCCCTCCATTGAGATATCCTAATCGAGTATGGATTCATAGAACGTCAAAATCTAAACTCGATCTTCTACCGAATCGTCGATCCATATGTTTGGAACTCGTCATCACAAACTTGCTTTTGTATGCTAATAATAGACTCTGGCCAGAGATTCAATTTTCGACATTTTCGATGTTCGTCTAGGAACTCGAATCGAATGGAGTTAGCGATACCCCGATCCTATATTTTCGAGTCAATGGATCCCCTCTGACCATCGTCGTTTCCGCATATGAACAACGCATGACCAAATAGGCTTTATGTACGAAACATGATTAGTCTCGTACTTATACACCGTATGAACCATACGCATCCAATCGAATCGATTATAATGTCTCAGGTCAAAGGACTACATCGTGCACTGATATAACCAAACGATAAATCATTGACTACATGCTTTTCCAAGTGATTGTCGTTATTCGGTCACATTCGAAAAACAGTTTCCAACCGTTAATCCATACCAATGCCCTAGTGACATGACTATCATCGTCATCCGTACTTATATCAACTCATGATATCTTTCGGAAGCATCCGATATATCTACTGCAATATAGTTGCCCAAATTTATATTGCTTCCGTAGGGAACCCTTTTCGAATTCATTTACCTATTAAATGAATCATCTGGACAATTCATATACATACTTTATTTTAAATGCATGACTGAATAAAGGAAGCAATTACATATATGAATTGAAGAAACTTTCTTTTATATTTATGAATATATAGATACAAGACAAAATGCTCTAAAACCGACAACACGAATGGTTTCTAGGACATACACTAACACTTAAGACGTCGTCTTTGTCGTCGGGAGAGGTTTGGGGTTGTTCTACTATGGCCTCTTTGTGACAACAAAGTTGGTCCTTGAATGCACACCAGAGGCGATAAGTCTTCAGCAAGTTCAGCCCCTATCATATGTTCTTACACCCTTGGGAGACGTGGGCGACGATGCTGACAGTTAGAGGGGGGCTCCGTCTATCGCTCCTTCCTTCAGAAGGAGGAGGAGGAGGCAAAGGCTACCCATATGCCAGGCATCACTCCTCCTTGTCATTGGGTTTTAAGACCTAAAGAGACTATAGAGAAGATTTCTGCGAACATACGACCGATGGTAAACGAAGAGGGAAACAGAGAAAGAGTGGTTATTGATGTTGTTGCATGACCAATCAACAACCTTCTAGAGCACCTCTAGGTCCCGCTATTTGCCTTCTATGAGTGCACCACAGAGGCCGGTTGGGAGGAAACGAGGGGGTACAAACTGATTCCCTTTTTGCAGAAGACAATCGCGGAGCATGCTTAGGTTTGAACTTGCTCCTTCACAATCTTCGCTCGCCTTTTTATTTGTTGTGCTCACTTGGTTTCATGTTAGTCGTGCAGCTCCTCTCTCTATTGACTATTCTCTTCCAGCGAGTCTACCCAAGGTTGCAGAGCTTAGAGATTGCTTGTGAATATCTTCGAGAGTCTGCAAAGAAGTCTGTGAGGCTGAGAGTGGCTCTGGCTTCAGCTTGCGACAACCACATCGAGGAGGAAGTTACGTTGTATAGAGGTTTGGGGTTGAGGAATGAGCGCATTGCCACTCTTTTGAGAGAGAACAACTAGCTGCATGCACAAACGCAGCAAATGGAGAGTGCCATTAGCGTTCTCAAGAATGAGAGGACACGGCTCGAATGTCGTTTTACATCGCTTCAGGGCATGGGTTCGAAGGGCTCGTCCTTTTCAGATGAGGATTACTCTCCTGTCGTTCTTGTGATGATTTTTTTTTTTTTTTTTTAAATGTAACTCCTCAAAGACATTAATGTAATGGTAAATAAAGGATTTTACCTTTTTCCTATACCTATTCGCTTTTACTTTGGATGTATCATTCCATCTCTTTGCCCTTTAAGAAACCTTGTGCTTGGTTTTTGGTAAAATCGCTTTGTTGTGCTAGGGATTATCCTGGGAGGCTTTCCTACTCGTAGGTTGTAGCGAGCTATGAACTTGGTTCACCAAGGTAGTGGAGCTCGCTAAACCTCGTAGCTTGATGAGGCATCGTTTCGTAAAAGGAAAAGGGGAGTATAAGCGAGATTTTGATTGCGGGTACTTGAGTAGTCTTATCCCAACATTTAATGGGTAGCCAAGCAAATCGCCATGCTAATGCAATTGGCAGGTTTTTGTTACTTAGTTTGGCAGGGCGATGCCTCGATTATCAAGATGACAGTTATTTTCCTCATCTCGAATGATGACGCGTGGATTGAATGAAGGGTCGTGATCGGTCCCGATTTGGGCTCTTTATAAAAGGCACGTCGTACTCAATTTTTTTCGTACTCTTAAGATTTTAAAGCTTCTTCCGACTTTGAGAGTGTGGCAGTTTTGTTAAGATCCCATCAACATTTTTCCAGACGTTTACCCTCGTAAGTTGCTTCTTCCCTTTTTTCTTTTCTGCTTTTGTTGTACTCGTCGACATCTCCTGGCCAAGGCCCATCGTTGATGGTTTGGGCTGATGGATAAGCTCTAATTTGTATGATAGTTACCTTTGGTTTTTTAGAAGGCAGTCGTTGGTGTATGGGTTGTTGGTCTTAGCTTGTCATTGAATTTGTTAGGTTACTTGGAAGTGACTCCATTGGATGGCTAGCAGTAGCAACCAAGTTGTCGATGCAAACCTCAGGAGTAGTCATAAGGAGGCGGTTTTCCTCAAGAATGAAAGGTTCAAGGAGGACCTTTTTCGTGGTGTCGAGGGTACCATAGTGAAGGTGGAAGGTGGTGACTCCAATGAGGGTGTTGCCCTTATGGCAGTGGAAATGTCGGTTGGTCATCACCCTTCCCTCTTGCTAGAGGACGAGCTACTTCGAATCCGCGAGGACTATGGATTACCCGCCGAGCTGTAGGTGATAGACGGTTGTCTTCTTGATAGCCTGCTTAGTGGCTTGGTGGCGATGTCGGAAGTTCTTTTGAGGTGTGGTGTGTTGTTCCCACCTCACCCGTTTATCTTTAAGGTTTTGCAGCGGTTCTAGATTGTTCCACTGTAAATGACTTCCAATTCTTACCTATACTTGGTAAGCATGTATATTGCTTTCTAGAAGGCCGGTTTGGGTGAGCTCAGAATGACCAAGTTTGTCCACATGTATAGTTTGAAAAAGAGTAAAGGTGGGCCTTATTATCTTTCCAAGGTGAACCGGCCCGGTTTGTAAGGATTAGTGGGAATCCTTGGCAAGATTGACAACTAGGACTCCGACTACTTCTTTTGTCCATGTGGCAGAAAAGGCTCCTTCGAGGACGCCAGTGGGTGACCATTCTTTTCTCTTGTAATTTGTCGGGCATTTGAGTTCCTATTGATGTTATTTGTTTGTTTTTTTTGCAGTTAGTCGCACCCAGCCCGAGGTCTCTGATAGCTTCTTGCATCAGATCTAGCAATTCTCCGAGCTCTCAATGGAAAAACACCACGTGGAGAATTTGATTACTCGAGATAATCTAACTATCTTAGGCTTTTGTCCTACAAATGTGAAGTTTTGGACTATCCTTTCTAAGGCCCAGAAGAACAGTGAGTGAAGACTGCTCACCCTATTTCATTATTCGAGGTGTGCACACTAATCCTTTGCGTTTGTTTGTGTAGGAATGCATTCTTGGAGACCCAAACACCCAAAGGTGGTTCATCATGTTACAGTTATTCATTTAATTTGATTTTTAGTATATTGGTCAAAATTAAAAATGTTTTTGTTACAATTTTTTTAAAATATTAAATTCAAAATCCTCTCTCCAAAAACTGTTTTGTATTATAATAGTGAACATATTTTCTCTATTTTCATATTCAAATCTTGTTTTTTGAAAATGATAATGAACGCATTTTCGAATTTTAAAAATATACAATCATATTTTCATATTTGAATTCATTTTTAAAAATAAAAACGTCTAAAACGTAAATGAACCCCACTTAACCTTTTTATTGTTTTCAGGGGTATATTCGAGATTTCATCACTCGGTCACTTTCACGTCTCAAAAGTTATAACGGGGTACTGATGTCAGGGGCATCTTTTGTTAATTTTCAATACCTTAGGAGACATTGGTCATTGGCTTAAGCCTCGTGGGTGGCTAAAAGCCCCTAATTATTTTATACATTGTACCACACTCTTTCACTAGGGTTTGTCTTGTCTTCTCTGTTCTCTGTATCGGTCAGGAGGAAGATCAGACTCTATCGGGTACTTTCTTTTTCTTATTCAATCCTTCTTTAAGCCTGTTTTACCTGTAAGCCTACAAAGATTAACTTATTTTTGTTTTATTCTTTTCTGGTATTTTTAGTTTACGTTATATGCTCCATTTTTGTATAAAAAAACTAATTTATGGAGCTCAGAAGTTCCTAGGATTTTAATATGTATTTGGTGTATTTTTTATTTACTTATTAATTTTTCTTACTTTTTTGTAGAGTTATTAGTTATTTCCAATAGTGGCTGGTTAATACTTTGTTTTGCTGTTATTATTAAAGTTAAATCGTGCCATGTAGTTGTTTATGGAAGCAAATGCTGTTATTTGTGCAGTTCTAAACATTTTTTAATTCAATTTTGTAATTTACGCCATACTTTAGTTTTGTGTTGTGAGGTATTGGTCATTGTCGTTTAGAAGATTTCTGTTCTGTTTCTTGTGATTGCAAATTTTAATTTCTAGAGAAAATATGGTGGTTGGTAATTTGTTTTTGTTATGGAGCAGGCAGAACGCCATATAACTGGGAGAGATTGTAATTATGGCGTCTATTATTTGCTAGCATTAAACCTCTTCGAAAAGGCAATACTAGTTATGCCCAATATGGAGACTGAGAATTCTAATATTTCAAGAGCAGAAGAACTCAAAGTCCTTGCTAATGAAGCCTTCAAAGGTGCTGGTTTATGTTTTGTTTTTATTTTTAAAGTAATGCAATTCCAGTTTAATATAGTAGTTTTTAAGTAATTGGCTTGTAATCTAATATATTTTTCGTTTTTTGAATCTGATTTTTCATCAACATCACTACTGGCTATCTTTTTGATTTTGCATTTGGGAAAACTTGTTCCCATTGTAAGTCTCATCGTTTGGCATAACTTTATGCTCTGAAGTGCTTGCTGCCTTTTTTTTTTTTGGCTGTGCTAATCCTGGAAGTTTACTTTTTCAGCCCACAAGTATGGCCAAGCAATTGATTTATATACGCAAGCAATTGAATTGAACACTGAAAATGCTGTGTACTGGGCCAACCGTGCATTTGCCCACACTAAGCTGGAGGAGTATGGTAGTGCCATACAGGATGCTTCAAAGGCTGTTGAAATTGATCCAAAATATTCAAAGGCATGCTTCACATGCTAAAATCTTTCTGCTTTCTGTGCATTTTCTTTTCACATTTGGTCTGATGTTCTCCGAATACAGGGTTATTATAGGCGAGGTGCTGCTTATCTTGCCATGGGGAAATTTAAAGAAGCACTTAAAGATTTCCAGCAGGTATTTTTTCTCCTAGGTGTTCTTTGATCACCATAGGAAACATGGTTATTTGTTTCTATTTACCATCTATGTTTTATTCTTTTTGGAGTTGTTGAGTGACCAATTCTTCATGATTTGATTTTGCTCTTAAGTAACCCATATTCTTGTAACTAAAATCTTTTCAACATTTTTCCTAAATTCCTCTTGACAACCCACTTCAACACATTTGCTTGTTCCTAGATAATTCCTATGTCTCTTTATTGTGTGCATAATTTTGTAGCCAAAGATTTTTCATTTCTCTGTAATACATACAAACTTCAAATGAATTCCTTTTGCTCATCTGAGCCAAAGATATATCTACATCACTTTTTTCCTGTTTATAGAGATGTCTGTGTGTGACCAAGTTTGATACTCTTTATCTTAGAAACACTGCAATGACTACATAATTTTTGAGGCCATTTGCTCTCCTTGCAATTAAGCAACCGAGTTCTTAATTGATAATTAGGAGAAACTGAATAAATATAAGTTTTTGGAACACCTCTGATATATGAGTTTAAAGAAATCTGTTGTTCATTGTTACATCATAAATGTTTAGAAAAAAAGGGGATTTTTTATTAAATTCAATGAACTAGTAACCATTTCTTTATTTAGTCTCTGGTGCATTGTACTACCTTCAATGTTCCATTCTTCAGGTTGTAATTTGATAGACTTATCTATTTGGAAGTTTTGCAATATATGTTGCTCATTTGATATACTACAACTTAGGTCAAGAAACTCTGTCCCAATGATCCTGATGCTGCCAGGAAAGTAAAAGAATGTGAAAAAGCAGTAAAGAAACTAAAATTTGAAGAAGCAATTGCTGTACCTGAGTCTGAAAGGCAATCAATCGCTGACTCCATCGACTTTCATTCTATAGGTACTTATAAATTCCTTTTTCTTTTTCTGTTTTCCCTTGTCGGCTTCTATTTGACTGTTCTCATTGGATCTTCTTTTGATGGTTCCCTTTGTATGTCTTCCAAGAAATGACATCTCAATGTTGTTGTAAAGTTCATTAGAATATTCGCTGATCAATATTGATAATATTTTTTGTTGTAATGTTTATCAGAATTTCTGCCGTATAGTATTGATGATTTTTCATTATTGTCATTGTTGATGCAAAAAAAAAAAAAAAGAAAAAAAAGTAGATGAATACTTATGTGAACATGATAATATTTGAAGCATACTGTGAGAGGCATAATTAAAGAAAAATACGAGATAATTCAGTTATTTCGACACCTGTTCTCTTTAGGAGGAAACTTTGTTATCTATAGCATTGATTATTTTGTGAATGTAGTTTATTAGTGGGGCAATGGATAATGCTATTGAATTGTATTTCATGATTTTTCTTACTCAGTAGATACGGCTTCTATCCTTCAGTGTTGTGAATTTAGCTAGTGATCTCTCTTCTTTGTTTTTTTTCCCTTTCTTTCTTTACTTATTTTTATTCATTATTCCATCATTTATGTTAGTACTACCATTGTGCTGGCGAAGGTTGTATTATGTGAGTCCCACTTAAGTAGAATTCACTAGTTAATGTATAAATATAGGATAAGTAGGTTTGGTGGAGTGGTGTAGCCAGCTTCCCCTTCTCTACCTGTTTCATTAATGAATTAATAAAATGTCTATACCTATCAAAAGAGTACACTGTATTTCAACTTAGAGAAAAGTTGATGCATATCCAATTGGGATTGGTTAGAATTGTCTTGACGGTGAATTTTGTCTGTTAAGAGTGCCATCAGTAATTATGGACGTAATTTTAGATATTAAATGGAAAGGAAATGTGGCAATGACTGAAAAGAAGGATATGAGATCATTTTTTGACATGTCATGGTGCATACTGTGGAGGGGATTATGGGATAAGAAATAATTGCACTAGTCACTCTTCTTTATAGTTTGCACAACCAAAAAAGTTTACTCTGAAGGTCTGCCAGAATATCACAAATTACACATTGAGAATTATGTATGAAAATATATATGTATATCCAAGAACATTATGCAATTTGGAGGGAATCGTGCTGACAAAGAATAAGAAAATAATGGATCTAGTTGAGACAATAATCTACATAAATTTTTAATTGAAAAAATGTCTGAAGGATTTATGAATTACGAATGAAAGTTAGAAAAGAACTTAGTTCCGCAAACTGAGCACTAATGTCGCTATAAGAGAAATTGCAAATCCTTATAGACACCCTAACATATATAAGCATCAGAGATGTTCTGCAGAAAGTGGACAAAAGTGACATTGAGAGAATAAATAAGTATATTCATTTCCATTAATTAAATGTGTTATTAATTAAGTATTAATTCTATTATTATTTTTTTTTAATATATTGTACATAATAGGGATGAGCCCCAGTTCATCATCTGTGCCCATCCAAGCAGTCATAGTGGCAGTTACAGCAGCAATTGTGGCGGTGGTGGTGATAGTGGGGCCAGCAATAGCCACAACAATTACTGGAATAGTGGTGGCAGTGCTGATGGTCCTAGGGGTTTATTGGTGGGGTGGCTGCGGTGGTAGTGGTGTCTTTACAAAGGGTCGAAAACTTGAACTAGGTTTGAGCTCAGAATAAATGAGTTATTGAACTAGACTCACTAGCTATTTTTCATAATTTTCCAAAATCAGAAAACCCTCATTTTGGTAGTTAATTGGAGAATATATGTATCAACTACAAATACCCTTCTCATAGTGTAGTAGGAAAAAAGCATCTTACAGCTCGAACATTTTATAGAACTGTGAATGACATTACATAACATTTGGAAGTATTTTCTCTGGTAATACAGGGTCCTTTTCCCTAAATTGACCTTGTGGACATGAGTTGATATTTAATATTTGAGATATTGTAGTAAAAGAAAATGAATAAATGTCCTTTGAAAGAATGACAGAAGCTTTAACTGAAGATAGTTGGCAAAGGATATAATGCTTGGCAACAACAAAAAAGATGCGGTTTTTATTATCATTTGTTGGTTATTACTTTCTTTACTGGTCACAAGTATAAGTAATTGATGGAATTCATGTGTGGAAATGACATTACAAACTAACATGTACAGATCCATAGAGATGTCCACTTTGTGCGTCCTTTTTAATTCCATGCTTCAATGACATACCTTTGTAATCTTAAATTAATAATTCTTTAATTGAATTCATAAGGTCTTAAGTAGGAGCATGAGTAGCCTCACACTTCTAATCTTGACATGACGATCAATTTTTTGCCTCTTGCCTCACCTCTTAATACTGATTGTATTTACTTCTATCATGATTGCTGAAAGAACTTTGTGGTTTTTGTTTTTATGATATTAGAACTTCATCAGATGATTTGATCCATAGATATTGATCACATTGCATTTCTGTTCCATTCTAGAGGTGGAGCCACAGTACTCTGGGGCAAGGATACAGGGAGATGTTATTACTTTGGATTTTGTAATGAAAATGGTTGATGACTTCAAGAAACAGAAGTGCTTACACAAACGGTATGTTTAACAAGCACAGATGGATATGAATTTAGTTCTGAAATGGTGATGTCTTAATCTTTTCTTTGAATGCTGCTTGCATTGTTTTGTAGGTATGCATTCCAGATTGTCTTACAAACAAGGGAAATGTTGCGGGCTCTGCCTTCTCTTGTTGATATAAATATTCCTGATGACAATCATTTTACTGTGTGTGGTGATATACATGGTCAGGTAATTGCTTGCTTAGTCATTCTTGAATTATGGAGTGAGTGTATACTTTGACATTAATTTTGAAATTGATGGAGTAACACTTACAAACACGATAATTGACACCTTTTTAGATTGCAAAAAGGTTAGTTGATGGAAAATGTCATTCTGCACCAACCTGTTGTGAGCTTGGCAATAGAACGATCTGCAAATTTATTAGTATACTATCTTTGGATAAGTGATATATGGAGTTCTATCACAAAATTTGCTAATATTTCGATGTATATATAAAGGATTATTCATACTTCATATCTGTGGTGATACACTGACCAAACTATGTTTTTGGTTTTTACCTCCAATTTTCTTAAAGTTTTCCTGAAAACGTTTCTTAAATAAAGAGATTAATTGATGATCACATAATTATTTTGTCAAAAATCTACTATGTATTTGTTGATTTTCTTGAAGACTAAAGATTGGTGGTAGTATGTGTTTAGATTATGGATTATTTGGATTTACTTTGATGAGTAACATACTATCCAACTTTCCCGATTCTGCATGTGTCTTATCTGCGTATTTATATCCCTGCATTCATTTGAGCACTGAAATGTTACTATAATCTATTGCCATTCCAGTAAACTTCTGGTAGATTGCTACTATTGCGTCTTATGATTAAGCATTTTGGCACCTTTGCTTTCTCAAGTTTTCTATCTGGTTTATATTTCTTTTTAATAGCCGTCCTCAGAAATCTGTCTTTTTGCTTCCAAGTTATGCACAATTGTTTGTTATTATCTTATTTCCAACCATAGCTTGTTGCACTTATTTGTGTACATATGTTTGCAATGCTTGCAGTTCTATGATCTGTTAAACATTTTTGAGCTTAATGGGCTTCCCTCAGAAGAGAATCCATATCTGTTTAATGGTGACTTTGTGGATAGGGGATCGTTTTCTTTGGAGGTCATCCTCACATTATTTGCCTTTAAGTGCATGTCTCCATCAGGTAAACCTTTTTTGATTCTTGTGTTTCTGGTATTCAGCCTCAGCTTTCTCTGCAGGTGTTTTTTTTCTTTTCCCAGCTTCAATGACTGGCCAGTTGTAAGAGATTTTATTTAATGATTCTATATGTGTTTGCTGTTCATTTTGAACCAAGAGAATTGTTTATGTGTCTTGGTCAAAGAATATTAATTGCTGTGCTATTTTTACTGTTATGTGAATTTGTTCCTGATTATGATGTGTTTGTGACCGGTAATTCATTTTTCACGTTGCATTATTTAACTGTGTGGAAAATTTTCAGCTATATATCTTGCTAGAGGAAATCATGAGAGCAAGAGCATGAACAAGATATATGGCTTCGAGGGTGAGGTCCGATCAAAGTTGAACGAAACATTTGTGGAACTCTTTGCAGAAGTGTTCTGTTGTTTGCCTTTGGCTCATGTGCTAAATGAGAAGGTTTTTGTAGTCCATGGAGGCCTTTTTAGTGTTGATGGTGTTAAACTGTCTGATATTAGGGCAATTGATCGGTTCTTTGAGCCTCCTGAGGAAGGTATGTGGCCAGTTTAGTATATTTTTTTGTTATTGCTTCCTTGTGTTTATATTATTGCCATCAACAGGCTCTTTGGCCTATCTGATATAGCATAATATTTTTTTCACCTTTATGTTAATTGTATATCATGTGATGATTTCTTAGTGATCAAAGCAAGAATGATTTTCCTATGTCATCTTAACAAAAATTTGGAAGAGAAGAATTGTAAAATATTGTCATATGTGTAATACTTTCCTAGTGATCACAGTAAGAATGATTTCCTATGTTATCATCTAATCTTAAATAACTTTTGGAAGAGAAGAATTGAGGAACAAGTTTGAGAGAGCGGATTTGTATTTTGGAATGAGAAAAACAACAGAATTTGCCCCTGGTCTCCTTTGAGAGACAGTGCGTTGAGAACATCTTTTTTACTGACTAAGCAATCCTGAGGGACATCTTTCTTCTTAAGTTCTACTGCTTTCTTTGCTCCTTTGAAACTTTTCTTCATCTTGACTTTTCACCAGTGGACACATCTTTGTCCACGTAATTTTCTGAAATACTGATCTTTTTATCTCCTTGTAAAATTTTTTGTTTCCCATCAAAGAACTGGGAGGATTGTGTAGCACATGGTATCTAATTGGAATATGGTATGTTGTTGGTGACTCTTATCTATTTACTTGAGGACATCAAACTCCATCAATTGCATTTTAAGCAATCCATCTTTTTTCTTAAAGCAGATTTAGTTTTTATGTCTGGTCACAGATGGCTGGCTGTCCTTCCTTTCCCATAAAACCGAGAGTTTCAGAAGAAGGCTGGAAGAGTTGTCTTAGTTTGGAAGTAAAAAGGATTCTTAAAGCACTATGAATCCCAAAAGCTTGAGCTAATAAGAGATGGGCTGACAATAGTGACACCATCTTACATGCATACCTGAATTGAGTCGGTGGACTTGTCACATGAACTCAAAAACATGCTGATCTTATTATATGCCTGATTTCCTTTGTGATATAATTTAAATTAATGGAATTTAGGAATCTTTAAGATTCCAACACAAGACTTCTTGATAAAATAGTGTTTGATATGATGTTGGCAAAACCATAAATCCCAAGGGTGATCCAATAAAAGTATTTAAACTCTTAACAAGGACAGTTATGTTTCAACTTTGTCCAAGTTGAGTGTGTCTAATTTATGCGTTTGTTGACCATGCTCTTAGTTGACTTTGTCTGTTGCTCTTTGCATGCTCATTTTTTTTGTCTGATTTTCATTAGGATTGATGTGTGAACTACTATGGAGTGATCCGCAACCTCTCCCTGGAAGAGGTCCTAGCAAACGAGGAGTGGGTCTTTCTTTTGGTGCTGATGTGACAAAAAGATTTCTGCAGGATAATAATCTAGGTAGCTTTCTTTTGTCAAAATGAAATCTAGGTAGTTTTGTACTACTGTCTATATTGTTCGTTCCATGTCAGTGCTTAACATACCTTACTCAATGTACAGACTTAGTTGTGCGATCTCATGAAGTAAAGGACGAAGGTTATGAGATTGAGCATGATGGAAAACTTATTACTGTATTTTCTGCACCAAATTACTGCGACCAGGTAACTAAATTATGGTTACTGGATTATTTCTTTCTATATCTGATGTAGTTTTGACAAACTTTGTTGGTCATTTCTATATATTATGCTAGGTTACTTTGTTTTTGAGCTTGAAATAAATTTATATCAAACTTAAGTTTGAACATTTTTCAGATTAAACTGGGAGCTATGAACTGATGCATGGAGTGGATATACCTGACATGTTAGCAAAAGTATCATAAAGTCGGATACATTTAGGAATTATAATATATGTATTGAGGAGTCACAAAGAAGTACCTAAAAAGATCCCATTTGGATATTGCTTATCTTACAGAAGCATTAAGTCAACTTTGTTCGTCTTTTCAGAAAATGTCAATTACTTTTTACTGAATAAATAACCATTAGATATTATTGTTGAACTTTCGTGCAAAGTTGACAAAGTTTCTGGTATTGCAATATGATAGTTATGCTTACTGGTAGTTCACCTATTATTAAAATAGTTGTACTACTGTCTATACTGTTTTCACAGCTAGAATCCACTTAATTCCCTTTAAACATGAAACTGGAAAACCCATTGTAAGTTCTTATGGCTGTTGAAGATTATACTTTAAGTTGAATTATGGAAATGGATGGTTTTATTACCATTGCCGAATTGTTCTTATAAATGTAGCATGTTTTGTTGTGGTGCTTACATTGGCTTGTAATTCGACTATTGCAGATGGGTAACAAGGGTGCTTTTATTCGTTTTGAAGCCCCTGATTTGAAGCCAAATATAATTACATTCTCAGCTGTGGTCAGTAGCTTCTATTTTTTGAATAATTGTAATGTCTTTCGCTGTTATGGTTACATATATGTATATCTTATTTTCTTCCCTTCCCACGCAGATGATGGTGTGTTTTATTTTCAATAATTTTTGGAACCTTTGGAAGATAACTTTGAATTTTCATGTTTGTCTTGTGATTAACTTACAGCCTCACCCGGATGTCAAGCCAATGGCATACGCGAACAATTTTCTTAGATTATTCTCTTAATACATCTCCTTGCCGAATGGGTTGGCTGTGTACGAATTTGCCATAGATGGTTCTGCTGTTGAAGTGCAGGTTGATTCTGGCAGCTGGAAAAGATCCTTTACAGTTTACATGTTGACAAATGCAGCAGCTTTCTTTAGATTATTCTCATCTTAAGTGACTTTTATTTGTTTGTAACAAATTTGAGGCATTGACCATTCTGAAATTTTCTTTCTTGTCAAAAGCGAGGCTTTTCTAGATGGATCCAAAATGGGGACCGAAGAGGCAATGGGAGGTTAGATTAGATTAGACTTTAGAGTTTAGAGTCTTATTAAATGTACGAATATTTTTTATGTGTCTTATTTTCTGAGTGAATTACTGAATTACATTTATTTCTGCCCATTTTGTGATTTTAACTTTATGATTTATTCTTTTAATGATAATGTGGGATAAAGATAAACTTGTCTTATCATGTATTTATGTTTATTCTATTTGTACATAAAATTTGATAATCTTTATTGCATCACCTTGTCTTATTTTCTTTCAAACATCTCACAAAGATTCTGTTTGATACAGCTTACTTTTTTGGTAGCACTTATTGAATTAAGAGTTTAACGAAGTAAAGTTTATTAGAGTAGAGCTTATGAAAGTAACAGTTGAAAAAAGAAATGTTAGATTGGTTTGAAAATGTAAGAGGTTTTTAATATTTATTTACTTAATATGTTTCTTAGATGGAATTGAATAAAGCTAAGATCAAAGATTGTTGTAGTTTTCGGGTTGGATTTGGCTTACAGATTATAAATAATAAACTGGATTTGTTAAGAAAGAAATGATGTCTATAATCTGGATTTGCTAAGAAAGAAGTGATATGCAATAAAAGAAGGTAAAATCATTGTTTCAAAACCTAGCCCAACCGGTTGGACTGGGCCCTGGCCGTTGAGCGGGTTGGGAAAGTCTCAAAACCGGGGGGAGTCGTTTCACCCAGATTTCCTTCGGGGTTGGACCGGTGGATACTGTTGCAACCCGTTGGTCCAATCGGTTTAAGGGAAAACCGGGTGAACTCTCCACCTGGTTTTCAAGCCATTTCCCCCTATTTTTTTAGTCTTTGTCGAGCCCTAACCCATTTTTCTCTATTTCATTGTCGATTTCTTCATCTTAATCTCTTATGTTCTTCATCTCATCTCTTCAATTCTTCTTCGCAACACCTTCATTTCACTTTGGTTATTAAAAAAGTCCCCTAACCAATTAACGCAAGCAACAATTACCTTCCCAACAAAACATCAATACAATCCCCACCAAAGCAACACCATATTCCTAACTCATACATCAATCAAAGCAAATCAAATCAATCAAAGCATTTCAAAAATATGAAATTTTTTAAGGAAAAAAATGTGAAGAAAATGGGATGAGCGATTGTGAGGCTATGAGATGTATGGGCAATAGGGTGGAAAGAGAAGTGGGTTGGACGGGGTACGGGGTGCCATAGGGTGGTGGTGGCGGCTACCGCCTCTATTGTCTGTGGTGGGGTAAGGTCGTCAATGATGGCTAAGTAAGACAGGCGATGGGGTGTGGGGTAGTGGTTAACGACATGGTTGGATGGGGGAAAGGGAGGGGAGGCGGTGATTCACTTCAGGCTGCTGGGTTTTTGTGAGAAGGCTATTGGTTTTTCAATTTGAATGAAGTAGGCTACTGGGTTTTTGCGATTTGGGTTGATTTTGGGATTTAAATGAAGAAGGTTGCTGGGTTTTTGAGAGGAGGTTGCAACTGCTTTTTGTTTTATTGTGAGGGAGTTGGGTAATGAGGAAGAAGAAGAAGCTGATTTGATTTTGGGATTTGAATGGAGAAGGTTGTTGGGTTTTTAAGAGGAGGCTGCGGCTGCTTATTGTTTTATTGTGAGGGAGTTGGGTTATGGGGAAGAAGAAGAAGATAAAACAGTCGTTTTATTTGGGGATTTATTAATTTTTAAGGGTTGAATCATGCTGACATCAGCACCAATTTGACCCAACGGTTGAACCGTTCAACTTAGGACTTGGTCCCTTGGTCGGATTCCACCTTGAGTTGGGTTTTAAAACATCGGGCAAAATAATAGAAAAACTGAACAAGGCTTCAAGACTTAAGGCCAGCCACAGGTCAAGGGGGAAACCATCACCAATTCTTGGCTAGAATTGGATAAAGGTTAAACACAACCTAAAGAGCTTCAATTGTTCTTAATGCTTCAACCACCTTAAAAAAAAAGCAAGTGACCCCATATATGTAGGCCAAGGAACACACGGTTAATACAAAGTAAAGGAAAAAAAAAAAAACACGAAACATAAACACAATAATCAGGAAAAGACAACCATGATCTCTCCATCATGGTTGTCTCCAAAAAGTGCAATGTGGAACCTAGAATAAGTTAACTCCAAACATAGTATTCTTCAAATTTAGACGCAGCCGCCATTATGTCTCCAAGAAATCTGTCATGCATTAAATGCTTGCAGATGGTTGGAGTTGACTATCTTTTCAGTGAATTTCTTCTTTAATTAAGAGTTTGCTTGATCCATGAGATCATGTTGCAATCAATAGGATTGCTTGGACTGTTTGGGCTCCAATTTGTGTCAATGGGACGGTTTGGGCTACTATTGTTTGTTTTGGACTTCTTATGGGCTATGTCACGAAGTTGGGCCGAATGAAGGGTGTTTGATTTGTTTGGTGAATCCGTATCATTATTGAAAATGGTTTTAATATGTAAGAATAAATCAAATCAAATTTATGAATATTTTTGAAATTTGAATACTTTAAATAAGCTAGAAAAGAGTTTATTTAATATCTTAAAAGTACTTGCTAGATGTAACTAAGCAATCTAAAAGAACTTAAACATGGAAAAAATTTATTTACATCTATCCACCCAAAGTTTGGCTTATCTCCTTGGTACCCTTGCTTTGATTAACCATCAACATTGCACACAATTTTAAATTTTAAATGTTAAATTTATTGATCAAAGCGAAATTATGTCTTTTTAAAATCTAAAACTAAAAATCCCTTAATATCTCACTTTTTTAAATTAGAAAAACTCAAACAAAATCTTTAATCTCTTGCGATTATTAAGAGAACCACCCAAACAAGATCTTGGCTTGGGACCCATCCTTCTCTCCCTGCAATTTCTCTTTTTGTCATTCCTCCCTCCCTGTGGCTTCTCTCTGTCATGGGCCTTGTGTGCCAAGTGGGATCTCAACCATCTAAAGAATCCAAGGATTAACAGCAAAAGATGAGGAAACCAGCTTACTTGTGTGCACATGTCATGAAGTCTGGAGTTGCAGAATGTCTTCTGGAGTTGTGGAAATATTATTCCTATTTAATAGTCTATTATGGAGTCATTGAATTGTTGGCCGGGTCTTATGGAGCCCATGGCCTTAGTTATCAAATCCTTAGGGTGGTTAAGAGGGTCTAGTTGTTATGGATTATTGTCCTTAAATGTTGGTCACATTTTGGAGTTAGTTATTAAGGGTTGTTGTATTTAAAGGTTTTGTCATTTAATTAATGGGTATCTTATTATCAGTCCAAATTAATCAAGTGGAGGATTGGTCCCTCGAAGACCAAAGCTATTATTTACTTCTTTTTCATGAGAACTTGATAGCAGTATCAGAGCCCAGGTCGTTTCCATGGCTGAAGGTACACGTTTGTCCTAACTTGGTGATGCTATTACACAATTGAAGACTGAAAATGCCGGACTGAAAAAAGCACAAACACAAATCTTTGGGGCTCAAACTAGATAACAATCTCTTGGAGGAGCTTATTCAACAAGTCAACTTTTTTGCAACCAACTACACCTTATCACATACAATTTCCCATCCAACTTCTACCCAAGCCCATAACCTTTTCACTGATGCTAGCAGTAGCAACACCCACCACAACAATCCTATGTTTGAAACCCACGGAGACATCCAATCCCGCACTATGCACCTGGATTTCCCAAATTTGATGGCATTGACCCCATTGGTTGGGTCTTTCGAGCCCAACAATTTTTTGCTTATTACAACACCCTTGATCCTGAAAAGATTCACTTAGCCTCATTCCATGTGGAAGGGAAGGCTCTATCATGGTATCAGTGGCTATTGGAGTCACATCCCATCTCTACCTGGACTGAATTCGTGCAAGTATTACGAGTTCGATTTGCACCAACCCCATTTGATGATCTGATGGCTGAATTTATTAAATTGTAGCAATCCTCATTGGTAGAAGAATACCAAACCCAATTTCAACTTCTCTCCAATCGCATCTCAGGCATTTTCGAGGAATTTCGAGTCAGCATGTTCTTGAGTGGTTTATCCGAGGATATTCATATTATGTCACTATGTTCGGGCCAACATCTCTGCCCACTGCTTTTTGGTTGGCCCGATTGTATGAAGAAGAGGTTGGGTGTCGTTCCCGAAATCCAAGGTCCTGTCACAACTCTCCCAACCCACCTGCATTACCCCCTTCTACAAGCTCCAATTTTCCAAGACTACTTGCACCCCTTTGCTCTAATCCCTCTTGCTTGCCTAGACCACCACCTACTTCAAACCATAACCTCAACCCTCATACTAACCCCCCTATTAAATCAAAATTCACATTCCCAATTCAACATATTTCACCAACACAAGTGAATTAGTGATGTGACCGTGGATTATGTTACTACTGCGATGATAAATGGTCTCTAGGACACAGGTGCTGCTCTCCAAAATTGTTCCCACAATATTGGAAAATGGAGATATGATTGAAAATCAAGGGAAATGAGAGTTGTTAGGGATTTCACTCCATGCTATTTCAGGCACTCCAACTCTTGAGACCATGCGATTGTTAAGAATGATTGGCACATACCAGGTGGTGGTACTTACTGCTACAGGTAACACTCATAGTTTTGTGGATCCGAATGTTGCAAGGGAAGTCAAATTACCAATCAAAGAGGGCTCTCATCTCTTTGCCATGGTAGCTAATGGAGATAAGTTGCCATGTTTGGGGTGTTTTGAGACAACAATCTTTCCCTCCAAGGGCATCAGTTTACTACTACTTTCTATCTTCTAGCTTTGGGAGGATGCGACATCGTCGTAGACGTTAATTGGCTCTGTGGACGTGGGACAATTTGGTGGGATTTATCTTGACTATTATGCAATTCATGTGGAGCAACTGACACATTAAACTCTTAAGGACTTACTCCCTCATCACACTTAATTGAGGCTTCCTAAGACAACCTGAGTGATCATGCTCCTCTTGAGCTACAACCCCTCCTCCATAAATTTTGTCACATCTTCACCAAACCAAAAGGGTTACCCCCTCATTTTAGTCATGATCATAAAATCCCCTTTACGGAAGGATTTGGACCCATTAGCATTCGTTCGTATCGCTACCCTTACTATCAAAAAGAGGAAATTGAGCGAATAGTAGTAGAACTTTTAAACAATGGGGTGATTCAACCCAGTCAAAGTC